TCGGCGCCAGACGAATCAAAGATACACATGCTACAATACAAAAAAGACAAACTAAATAAATAAATGATCTTATCTGACATATATATATTCATTCATTCATTAGATTTATACCCCACACCCTCTGGCAGCCAGGCCACTCTGGGCAGCTAACAACAACACAAGATTAAAAGACAATAAGAATAAAATAATACAAGCATTTAACAGATACAATAACAAGCAGGATAAATTAAAATAGATGGCTATAAAGATGGTCGAAAGGATGATGAAAGGATGGCAAAAAGGATAATAAAAGCGAAGCAGAGATATCAGCAACTGAATGCTCAGGGAAGGCCTGATGGAAGAGCCAAGTCTTCGATGCTTGTTTAAACCCATCTAACGAGGGTGCCAGGCGGATCTCAACGGGCAGGTTGTTCCATAGGCGGGGGCCGACTGCCAAGAAGGCCCGGTTCCTTGTTCTTTCCCTCCGGGCTTCTTTTGGGGTCAAGGCCCTCAACTGCCCTGTCTGTGAAGAACGGGTATTATGGACAGATCTGGCTGGGAGCAGGCATTCTGCTAGATAGGTAAAGGTAAAAGTTCTCCTTGATGAAGGGGAACCTTTACCTTTACCTATCTAGTACAGTTGTGTCTGACTCCAGGGTGTGGTGCTCACCCCCGTCTCTAAGCCGTAGAGCCAGCGTTTGTCTGTAGACCGTTTCCGTGGTCACGTGGCCAGCACAACTAGATACGGAATGTTGTTACCTTCCCACCGAGGTGGGACCTATTTATCTACTCCCATTTACATGCTTTCGAACTGCTAGGTTGGCAAGAGCTGGGATAAGCGACGGGAGCTCACTCCATCACGTGGATTCGATCTTACGACTGCTTGTCTTCTGACCTTGCAGCACAGAGGCTTCTGCAGTTTACCCCGCCGTTTAGGGCTTTGAATGGTATCATCATAACCTTGAAGTTGATGCCGAAAGGAACCAGTAGCCATTGAAGGGCGGCCAGAATGGGGGAGATTTGCTCAAATTTTCTCACCCCAGTTATTAATCTAGCTGCCAAATGCCGAACCAGTTGAAGTCTCCACATCAAGCTCAAGGGTAGCCCCACATACAGAGCACTGCAGTAGTCTATTCTTGAGATTACGAGGGCATGAATCAAAGTCGTGAGTGCCGCTGCATCTAGATAGGGACGCAGCTGGGCAATCCTCCCAGGGAAAGGATCCGTGACTCCCAATTGTTTGTACCAAAACCTCCTGATCCCATGTAGGTGGATGGAAGTATTGTTCTAAATCTCAGACCGCACCTTCAAGCAACCCTGGGTGGCCTGATCCAGCCCAGGATAACTCTGCTGTGCAGTCACTCCCTGAGTTTGGTATTAGCAAAGATGGGAGTACGTTACCTGTATTTTAGTGGCATTATCCTGTTGGGGATTTCTGTGCATGCAACTGGCAGGCTGCTGACCTTTGGTGTGGAGTCTGCTGTGCAACAGCCATGTCGCCAAACAGCACAACCACCAGGCCTTATGAAACCATCATTTCACTTAAATTCTTCATGTGACACTAGCCTTGGGCTACCATTTTCAGCTTCTATGCTGGATCAGGCATTCTGACAGTTGTTAGCTAAAAAAAGCAACCTTTTCCTCTTTTGGGCGGGCTGTTATCATCTAAGGTTACAGGCTCCCTTTTAAAAACAAAGCAAAATACCCAAATATTTCCTTTGTGTTTATCATCTTCTGAGCAGCTCTCTCATGTGTTAGGGCAGCAGACCAAATAATAATGAAAAGAAAGCATTATTCATCCTAAAGCGACATTTACAAGCTTTTTTTCCCCTCCTGGCATGGGTTAAGCACATGCTTATACTCGCCAATTAAAATCTCTGTGTCATAACAGAGCTACTGTAAGTGCTCGTAATATCAGGCTTGCCATCAGCAAAGATCCTAGGCTGTGAAATCAATCCTTCTTGGTCCATCCCGTTTATTGGGTTGATGTAAAAGAAGCTGTTTAGGCAAGACCCGAAAGTACGAATAAGTAACCTGATTATCGCCACTGGAATAAACAGAGCTTAAAAAGTGGAAGTCATGCATGCCATGATAAGGCGATAGACATGTGAATGGTAGAAAATAAATTCCTTTCTAAAAGTTATGTTGGGAAAGAGGCGATCGCCTTTGAAAAAGCACAGTGCACCTTAAAGTGACTCTATTTAGCATGTTCTTCCTTCTGAGCTCCGATGCCCCCTACCATCCTCTCCTATCTCTCTCTTTATGGGGAGAGGGGAAGGCCAAATTATTATTATTATTTTCATTTATTGGTAAGTGACCTATTGCTGCATTGGCTTGCCACCGAAGTGAAACAATGATGAATTGTAAAATACTAATACTAATACTAATACTAATACTAATACTAAGATTGAGGAGCTTTTTGTCTTCCCGGGGCTGTCTAAACCCAATTAAACATGATCCCTGCAAACAAACCCTCCCCTTTGTCGCATCCCCCCCCACCTCACCCTCTTTGCCTCTTATTCCATCCAGGTCCCCCTAATAATAATAATAATAATAATAAAAGGAGGGGGAGAGATAGCCTTTGAGTCCTCTCCTGTCACCCCTTCTGCAAGGGAGCAAGATAAAACTGTGATCCCCCCCCCATTTACCAGTATGCGACATACCACTTCATTGGCTTGCTACCAAGTGACATGCCACTAAATTGCTGGTGTAAACCGCTACCGGTGCAAGCTTGGTTTATTATCAGTGATCATCATACATGTTGAAAGCCACTAAAAACTGAATGATCCTACCCACATTAAACAAACAGTTGCCCTGCCAGGGACCCAAAAAGGTGCCGGAAGGCATAGATAAGAGTTGATTTTGTTCGTGATTGCCTGTATTTCATGTGGTCGCCAGAAGAAGCAGAGAACTAACACTTAATCACACGAAACCATGGAACACAACCTCATTCTCTATACAGTGGTGCCTCGCTAGACGATGATAATCCGTTCCACTGAAATTGCTGTTTAGCGAAATCATTGTCTAGCGAAAAGCATTTCCCCATTGGAATGCATTGAAACCTGTTTGCTTTCCAGTGGGGAAGAATTGTCATTGTCTAGAGAAAATCCTGGGAAGAATTGTCATTGTCTAGCGAAAATCCTATGATTGGCCATAGGAAAGCCGCTTTGCGAACCGCTGATCAGCTGTTTAAATAGCTGTCTTGCGAAGCATAGGTCCCGAAAACACCCGTTTTGCGAAGCACGGAGGGAGCTGTCAAAATCGTTGTCTAGCGAAAATTGGTTTGCGAAGCAGGGACCAAACATTGTCCAGCGAAATTCCCCCATAGGAATCACTGTTTTGCAAATCACTATAGCAATCGCAAAAAGTCAATGTCTAGCGAAAAAACTGTCATGCGGGGTAACTGTCTAGCGAGGCACCATATTCCATGTTTTAGTCTGGTGTGGTTAATAGCTAGTTCTCTACTTTATATGATGGTTCGTACAAAGTCGGAATAGTATCATCCGTGCATAACACTGAGGTCTTGAGAAGCCTTGGTAAATCTTGAGGTTTGAATAAATATATTTTAAGAAATTAGGAGGAAATTTTCCTAAAGGCATTGCTGGTTGGTTGCCCAGCATTCTAAACAGCACCACTGCTTACTGCCATATTCTGTTGCAGTTCCCAGTTTGTTTGTTTTTACATATAGCACATTTTAGCAGGTTGAACTCATTGATCAACTAACAGTGAACTAGTTAAACCTTGTGAAATTGTGAAAACAGCCCAGTGAGGACACAGCATACAGTACTTAGTGAGCACAGACTGGAATGGCTGGAGAGAGAATACAAATTGTTTGGAACGCTACAGAGTTGTAGAGTTTATTTTAGGTTCTGTTCGCTATCAGATATAGAAAGCTGCCTTTTACAGAGTTGGTCCCTTAGTTCAGTTAGCCTGCTATTATCATTTCCAACCTAGGCAGGCTTTTTCCTTAATCCTAAGTGGCGATGCAAAATATATGTTTCACGATGGAGCTACAATCCTTCTGAGAGCAAGAGTGGCGCAGGGGATAGAGCGCCACGCTAGGACTTCAGAGTCCTGAGTTCAAACCCCTGCTTGGCTATGAAAACTCCTGGGGGTGGCAGCGATGCTACAAACAACTTCTTAAATACTTCCCGGATTTTGATAACTCTATTAGAGTTGCCATAAATTGGATGCAACTTGAGGGCACAAAGCAAAATAAAATAAAATAAAATAAAATAAAATAAAATAAAAAAGCTTGTATTCCCTAGTGGCTCCCAACCCTGTTTAGTTCCTTAAATCAGATGAGATTATGGGGGTGATGATTCCCTCCTGTAATAGTATAGGTCAGTAGTTCCCAACCTTGAGTGACCCAGGTTCTGGCACAGCTAGTGGTGAAGGCTTCTGGGAGTTGTAGTCCGAGAACACCTGGCTTATCTAAGACTCGGAACCACAGGTATGAGACGTTAAATGGAAAGAATGCCATCATGGAATATTAATTTTTTGCTTCTGGACATTTTTTTGTAGTTTTTATTTACCTTAAACATAAACATAAAATAAACAAATCAAAATACAATATAACTGTGTTCCCCACCACTGTAGACGGGACCTCTTGCTATAATCTTCTTCCTCCATTTATATTCTTCCTCTTCTTTTATTGTTCTCTTCACCAGAACTGCATTGATTCTTGATTTGGAGCATTCCCCTTTTCTCTTGTTAATACATATTCCAAAAATCTGCCCCATATTTCATAAGAACTATTCTTTTTGAACTCTCCTTTCTTAACCTTTAAATTACAAGTTACTATATCATTTAGAGCTATATTCCATATTTCACTATACCATTCATCCATCTGAAATTCAGATTTTGATTTCCATTGCCTAGCTATTATTAATCTCGCTGCTGTTAATAAATTAGTTTTCAATTCTTTAATCATCTTATCATATTACACATTCTCAAATATTGATAACAAAGCGATCTCAGGATTCTGGACATTTTAAACAGGG